TAGACGCGGTCGAGCCTGTCGAGGTCACTGGGGACTCTGGTGCTGCTGCTGGTGCTGAGCCTAGGGGTGCTGAGCCTGGGGGTGCTGAGCCTGGGGGTGCTGAGCCTGGGGGTGCTGAGCCTGGGGGTGCTGAGCCTGGGGGTGCTGTGCCTGGGGGTGCTGAGCCTGGGGGTGCTGAGCCTGGGGGTACTGAGCCTGGGGGTGCTGAGCCTGGGGGTGCTTCGTCTCGCCGGGAGCCACTCTCCCCACCGGAGCTGCGTGAGTGGTTTGCCAGGCGCTGGAGGCGTGCTGCTGGTGCTGGTGGTTCTTCGGCTGCAGAGGGTACTGCTGTCGCGCGTCCCGACGGTGCTCGTCCTTTGGGTGTTGGAGCTGCTGGGTCTGAGAGTTCTCCTGGAGCTGGTACTGCTGAGGGTGTTGTCGCTGAGCCTGCCGCTGGCGGTCCGCCTGCGGGTACTCCTGGTGCTGCTTCTGGGGCCTCTGGTGGTGCTGCTGGAGGTGCTGCTGGAGTGGGTGCTCCGGCCGGGGCTGCTGGCGCTGTTCCAGCTGTTTCTAGCGTCGCCGCGCGGCCCCGACCTTACTTCGTTCCGCTCCTTCAGCAGGTTCTTGGTCTTACACCTTCCTCCTCCTCCCGTAGAGGGTCCGCAGCCTGTCCAGTCACAGCCACAGCTACAGCCTGCCTCCCCTTTGCCTGCTCCTTCTCCCTACGCTGGTCCGACTGGAGGTCTTACTGAGCGTCGTGAGCCTGCGTCTCGTCCTGCGTCGCCTGTTCGTCCTGCGCGCGCTAGTGGTCGCGGTTCGCGTCAGCGTCCTCCTCCTGTCCCTGGCACGCACCGGATGTCGCTGCGTCCGTCCACTGCTCCTCTGCGTGCCCCTTTGCCTTCTCCTCCTGCTTCCTCTCTTCCTGCTCTTGCCGACCCGGAGTCGGACTCTCTTCGTGCTGCCAGTCCTACTGTCACGCGTCTCCTTGCTACTGCTGTCACTGACCCTTCCTTCGAGTCGTCTGCTGCGTCTGCCCTTGTCACTGAGCTTGTCGACTTTGCTGCGCGCTGTCGTCTCGACTACGCTGCTCGTCTTGTCACTGAGTCTGAGTCCGCCTGTCCTCCGTCCGTCGGGGGTGAGTGTGCCCTTGGCACGGACGTCCTTGAGGACAGGCAGGAGGAGTTCCAGTGTCTGGCTGCCGCTTCACCTCGTCTCGCGTCTGTACTGCTAGCCCCTGAGGGAGACCCGGATGCACCAGACATCCCGACTCCGCGCTCTTACGCGGAGGCGATAGAGGGTCCCTACTCCTCTCAGTGGCAGGCAGCTATGGATGCAGAGATGGCTTCCTGGAAGTCCACAGGCACCTACGTTGACGCTGTACCCCCTCCTGGGGCGAACATCGTCAGTGGCATGTGGATTTTCAGGGTGAAGCGGCCGCCGGGTTCTCCGCCTGTCTTCAAGGCGCGCTACGTGGCTCGTGGCTTCAGTCAGCGGCAGGGGGTTGACTACTTCCAGACCTTCTCCCCCACCCCGAAGATGACCACTCTTCGGGTTCTGCTGCACGTTGCTGCTCACCGTGACTATGAGCTGCACTCTCTCGACTTCAGCACAGCTTTCTTGCAGGGCAGCCTGCACGAGGAGATCTGGCTGCGCCGCCCACCTGGCTTCACTGGGTCTTTCCCTCCTGGTACCCAGTGGAGTCTCCGGCGTCCAGTCTACGGTCTCCGCCAGGCGCCACGTGAGTGGCACGACACACTGAGGACTACGCTCGCGGCACTTGGGTTTGCTCCTTCTACTGCCGACCCGTCGCTGTTTCTGCGCACCGACACCTCTCTGCCGCCGTTCTACATCCTCGTGTACGTCGACGACTTGGTCTTTGCCACAGCTGACACTGCTGGACTCGCCTACGTGAAGTCTGAGCTGCAGAAGAGACACACGTGCACTGACCTGGGTGAACTGCGCAGCTACCTTGGCTTGCAGATCACCCGGGATAGAGCACGCCGCACCATTACCCTGACTCAGTCACACATGGTGCAGCAGGTCCTTCAGCGCTTCGGCTTCACGTACTCCTCGCCTCAGGCCACTCCTCTGCCTACTCGCCACTCACTCTCAGCTCTGCCTTCGGATGAGTCCGTAGAGTCGAGTGGCCCGTTTGCAGAGCTTGTTGGCTGCCTCATGTACCTGATGACCTGCACACGACCTGACCTCGCATACCCTCTTAGCATTCTCGCACGCTTTGTTGCTCCTGGGAGACACCGACCAGAGCACATGGCTGCAGCAAAGAGGGTGTTGCGCTACTTGTGCAGTACGTCGGGCATGGGGCTAGTGCTTGGAGGGCGGAGTCCAGTCGTCCTCACTGGGCACGCAGACGCTTCTTGAGCTGACGACCAGGCTACGCAGCGGTCGTCACAGGGTTACTCCTTCAGCCTTGGTTCCGGCTTTGTCTCGTGGCGGGCTACCCGCTCGTCTTCTGTTCTCGGCTCCAGTTGTGAGGCTGAGATCTACGCTGGGGCTATGGCTGCACAGGAGTTACGCTGGCTCACCTACCTGCTGACCGACCTTGGAGAGCCGCCTCGTTCTCCTCCAGTCCTGTACGTAGACAACAAGGCCATGCTGGCCTTGTGTCGAGAGCAGCGACTGGAGCACAGAACGAAGCACATTGCTCTCCGCTACTTTCTTGCTCGTGAGCTACAGCAGCGTGGACAGTTGCGACTTGCGTACGTGGCCTCTGAGGCCAACACTGCTGATGTCTTCACCAAGGCACTTGCGCCTTGTGATCATCAGCGTTGTTGCACGCAGTTGGGTCTTGTGCCTGTCTTGCCTCACTTGCTCTGCTCTTGACCTTGCTTGTACCTTCACCTATATATACTCTTGCTCTTGCTTGCTTGACTCTTGTATATCTCTATATATGATCTTGCATGTGAACTGGCCTTCTGGCCTTTGAACTTGTGCTCGGAATGCGTGGTGACTTTGTGATCCACCCTGAGCTTTGCTTTGCTTTGCTTGACTGGTCTTGTGACCCCTTGTTCTCCCCCACTTTGCCTATGGGGGTGTGTCAGAACATATAGCTTACTTATTTCTGTAGGCTATAGTGGGGTATCCCATAGGGGGTACAACCCAATTAGGGTTTCCTATTTGTACCCACTTCTTTTTCATAGTCATTCACTTCTCGTTCGTACTTTCTCAAGTTCCGCCGAGTTGCCGAAGGTCCGGTAAGAGCGAATGTTCTGCTGCTGAGTTGGTGTGATGTTTCTCAGTAGAATAGTATACGCCATCATCGATTGATACGTATACTGCTGCTTCTCATACTGTGTGCCGTTTGCTGGATACTGCAGGGATCCGTCGAAGAAACCGAGTATCTGCGCGCCCTCCATCATTAGCTCGAATTCAAAGGACCAGGTGAAGAAGTCCTTTCCGTCAAAAGGTCTTGATGTTTGCAGTTTCAAGACATGCGCGAATTGCGACTGAACTTGTAATGCGTCCATTGGTTTGTCTTGCGCAGGTGGAGGTTGAGGCAGGAAGCTGATCGACCCGCGCTCGTACGGGGCGAAGGTGGGTTGCTGCTGTTGATTCCCTCGCACATATGACGACCCATGAAGGCTCATGGGTGTCGCTCCGTTGTTGCTGTTGTGTGTCTGTGCAGGTCCCGACTGCTGGTGTTGCTCGTAGAAGGACATGAAGGAGAAGAATTTCTCCATCATGCTCTGATCAAAGTCAGAAGGATGGTTCGTGGGGGTCTCGGTTGACGTTCCCCTTGGTCTTGCTGCCGTGCCTTCCTCTGTCTGCAGGCCAGAGGCTGGCGGTGGAGTAGGAGTAGTGCCCGAGGAGCCATTAGGGGAGCTCCTTTCCTTGTTTGTTGCCATGTCTTGTAATGATCTTGAAAAGGTAGAGTTTCCCCTGTATGCTCTCATACCAGAAGGAGACCTACCTCATCAACCGCCATGTTGGGCTGAAAAGGCCCTAAGGATCTTTACAGAGGATAACTCTGGGTAGGATACTTTGTAATAGCGGAATCGTTTAATGAAGCTTTGTGAACCGACCTTGCACTAGTGTGTGAGAGCAAAGTAGATTAAATTATATTGAAAGGATACAAGCTTATATAATAATACAGGGAATATGAAGAGATACGGTTATAACTACTTTTACTGTTGCTGTTGCGGTTCGATACAGTGCGACTCGGGCAACTGCTCTGTAACGAGTTAGTTGTGTGTCCTTAACTGTCGCGCTGTTCTTGTCAGGTCAAGGGTCAGCGACCTTTGACTTTCGCGTAACTTCCTGCAGCCGATTCAACCTCCGAGGGTTGACTCGCAGGTGCTTCGGTGTAGGTTGCCTCGCTTCTGGTGCAATGTTTTGACACTGCTGAAGCGTTTAAGTTCCATTGTTTCCAACACATGCAACCGCCGAGGCCAGAATCGCGCACGGTGGTGCGTTCTTACTGTACCAGTCACTTCTTGACTGGTTTGGTCACGTATCTGTGCCTCATGTGAGAAGGTGATTTTCACCTATTGGGCCACTTGTAGCGGAAGATTCGCCAGCGTGGCGACAGCGAGATTGTGGGAGGGGGGAAATCTTGGCAGATTCTAAGTGAAAGTACACGCGAACTTTCACCTAGGGAGCAATTCTCGCGATATCGTCCCGTAAGGAATCGGACTCGATAACAGCTATAATATGAATGTATAAGAAAAGGGGGGTGTTATAGAAAATCACCCCAAAAGGGGGGGTATAGTACAAACGGGGTCGGATATAACACCCACCCCGTATTAGCTACCCGGGGGTGTACAATTACAGGGGGTGTTTTATCCGGGAGAATACGGTAATCCATCCTTGTTTTCTTTTCACAGCTGTTTCGCCTAGGAAATGCTGCATTTCAACTCAACGCATAATGCTGCTGTTGGCTCAATCCCATCCATCACAGTGTTTTTTTTTACGGTACCGTACATTTGAGAAGGTCCTTGTTCCCAGAAAAAAAAAAGTGTACTGAGCACCACATGAAGGTAAGTTCCCATTCCTCGTCCAACCCTTCATGGCTTTTTTATCTTGGAAAAGGTCCCTGTTTCCGAGAAATAGGTGCTCTGAGTGCCGCTCCCCAGGTGAGACATCTGTGCCGCTTGCGGGTTGGTCAGCTCTATACCCTGTGGTGGGAACAGCAATAAGGGGGATGGAATTGACACAAAATTGATGAAACACCCAAGAGAAATAGGTTCTCTGCATACCACTTCCCAGGTGAGACATGTGCTCCTTGTAGGCTAGTCAGCCTATGCCCTGTGGTGGGGACAGCAATAAGGGGGATGTCATGGGATGGGATAGGACGGGATGGGAGGAGGGGCCAATATAAGGCGAGGCATACAGTTGTTGGACACTTGAAACAGGACACGAGTGCAGTCAAGTTAAGCACTTACGGCCAAGCAACAACAAATGACTCAACTGATGGCCAAATCGAATCTGCCTGGAGTGTCCACAGCATAAAGTTATCCTACAGCAAACTGAGGTGACTTTTGAGTCGACTCAAAAGTGACCAATGCAAACCCGCTTGCAGTGCAGCAGACAGCCTCTCTCCAGCATACCACTCGATTGATAGTAGGAGTGAGAGGGCTGAACTCAAACAAACACAAACCACTGATTCTCGGGACGTGAAGCGCCTGCAAGTCAGCAACAACACACATCAACAGCCCTCTCACGTCTCCTTGTTTGTGTCTCACGTCTGCTGACTTGCAGGCGCTTAACGTCTCCTTGAATCGAGTTTGTTGATTCTCGGGACGTGAAGCGCCTGCAAGTCAGCAACAAGACACATCAACACTCCACCGTACCTGGATGGGCGTGAAGGCGAGACTCGAAGAGAGTCCCGACGTGTTGCCACTGCTGCCGTAGCTACGCTCCTTGAATCTGCGAATGGACGAAACGGAACGAAGTGGAAATGAATCAGTAGATGTGAGTGGGGAACGGCTCATGTGTTGGCACCTGCTGCCTCTCGGTCTTGCCACTGCAGCTGTAATTGCGCTGTTTGAACCTGAGAACGGATGTGTTGGGAATGAATAAAGTGGAATAGCACTAGTGGAATTGAGGGAGCGATGGATCATATGTTGCCAGTGCTGCCGTAGGTACGCTCTTTGAACCTGAGAAAGAACGTCAATGGATCAGAGTTGAAAAGCATTAGTGAACTTCAGAGGGCATATCTCATGTGTTGCTGCTTTTGCCACTACTGTCGTGACTACGCTTCTACATGAGTATGTGTGGTAGACATGGGCAACGAGGCGAGTTAAAAGCTCGACTCGTTTATAGTACTCGTTTTCGGCGAGACCGCACAATTACAGACGGAGATCAAGTTCTTTTGGACACTCATAATTTGGACCTTTCTCATCTATCCTAAGCAAATTTGTCCACGTTTTTGTGGTCTTTTCCACGTTGAGTTGATGAGGACGCCGAATATTTTCCGCTTACTCTTACTTGTTACATGGAAGATTCACAACGACTTCCATGTACAACTCTTGAAGCCCTACAAGGACCTGAATCAACAGTACCAGGAACACCAGCTACCGCCGCCACCACCTGTTCTTACACAGGATGAACCAGAGTATGAGGTGGAACGTGTTATCGCGCACTGACATCGACGGCACGGCACGCTCAAGCTCCTAATTTGCTGGAAAGGTTATGATCATTCAGACTACAGTTGAGTGACAGAAGCTGCATGGGCGACGCACGCCGAGCTCTCAGGAATTATTTTGTCAAGCAGGATGTTTCTCATACAACCCAGCGGAAAACGTCGTCCGTTCTGTCACAAATTTCTATTTCTACTATCAAATTTGTTTTCTGCACTCCTTTCCTATCCGTTTACCAACCTATTTTATATTTGACATGTTTATACAAAATAGAATTGTGTGCACCGTTTTAGAATTATCTCGAGAGTGACCTTGCGTGTGCGTGACTTTGCACCAAATTCCTTTACCGATTCGAGAAGTCTCTATTTCAGCCTGTTCTATAGCCTCGGTACTTTCTAGTAATACCTGGATACCTCCACTGTACCGTGCCTAAATATAGCTACGTATTAGTGCCCATGTTCATGATTGACTATCAAAGTCAAGTCTCGATCTTCTCACAACTGCACTCCTTAAAACCAGACACTCACTTCTTGGCGACTTTGGTCTTGAGGTTGCTGGCAGCAGCAGCCACTCTCAGCCGCCCCGACCCCGCTTGCCCCAGCATGCCGTACCCCTCGCCTAGCCCGTCTCCCAGCGTTGATTGCTCCTCCACTCCAAACTGCATGCGATTGGCTAGCTTTCTCATGTCTGTGATGCCGTAGCTGTAGTTGGAAAGAGGTGGGGATGGGTGGAGAATGGTAGGATATACTAGAAGGTGAGCAAATGCCTTAACATGCCGTACCCCGTGCCCAGCCCGTCCCCCAGGGTCGATTGCTCCTCCACTCCAAACTGCATGCGATTGGCCAACTTCCGCATGTCCGTGACGCCGTAGCTGTAGTTTGAGAGGGGGAGTGGGAGAGAGAGAGGCGGGTTAGTACTGCACCCCTCGCCTACCAGAGTCAACTGCTCCACTCCGAACTGCATGCGATTGCCAGCTTCCGTAGCTGTTAGTGGGGTTGTGTGTGGGGGGGGGGAAAGGGGGTGGGGGGTTGGGGTGGAAAGGGGGCGAGGGGGGTTAGGGCGAGGGGGTTATGTGTGAATGGGGGATAGGAGATTGACTGGCCAGCTTGCATACTCACTCCCTCTCTCTCCCCCTCCCACCCACCCACCCACCCACTCACTCACCCAATCACCCCCTCCCCCGCTCACCGTTCCATCATCTTCCTCAACCGTCACTCCCCTCTCCTCTTTTTCGGTTCTGCATCGGGCACGGGCAGTGGCTTGGGCTGCTTGGCGAGTGGCGGCTCCTGCCACTTGTCAATCTTCCTCTCTATCTCCACCCGCAGGCCCCGTCCCTCTCCCCTCCCCACTCTCTTCCCCCCCCCCCCCCCCCCCCCACCACCTCCCCGTCACTCGCGTCCACCCGTGCTGCTAGTGTGCAACATACCCACACACACACTCCCTCACTCAGTCACTCAGTCACTCACTCCCCAACTCACCGTTCCTTCATCTTCCTCAGCCGTCGCCCCCCTCTCCTCTTTTTCGGTTCTGCATCGGGCACGGGCAGTGGCTTGGGCTGCTTGGCGGGGGGCGGCTCCTGCCACTTGTCAATCTTCCTCTCCATCTCCACCCGCAGCCGCCGCCCCGCTCCCCCGCTCAGATCCCCGTGAGTCGCGTCTACTCGCGCTGCCAAGGCGCATTTCCCCGCGACAAGGCGGGTGGCGCGCATGCGGAGAGGGGGAGGGGTGGCCTGGACGACCTCGCAGTGGAAGAGGAAGCCGGTGTGCGGCAGAGAGGTGGCGGTGGAAAAGCCTGATAGGGTCTTCCTCTTGCTCCCGAGCACCTGGTAAAGGTGTGAGAGGGGATTGAACGAAAGTGAAGGGGAGAGATGGACATGCAAGAGAAGGAGGGGAGTGGTGGCTTGGACGATTTTGCAGCGGAAGAATGAGCCGGTGTGGGTGAGAGAGGTGGCTGTGGAGAAACTGGATAAGGCCTTCTTTCTTTGATCCCAGGAGCTTACAGTGAAAGGGAGGCGAAAAAAGAAAAAGGGTTCGAATAAGAAAAGGAAGGTAGGGGCGTTTTGCATGCTCACTCACTAACCTGTTGCTTCCACATGCCACACGAACCTGAATGTTGCAAGCAGGCATGGAAGCCAGGGCCATGAGCCCCCCCGCCACGCCCACCAACTGGGCCGCTATTGCCGAACCAACCACCGCTGACAGGTTCGGCGCCAAGCCTCCCATCCGGCTCTCCACAAACCTGAGAATGGGAGGCAGGAGAATAGAAAGGCAAAAATGGCTTGTCTGAGAGTCCATCAGATCTAACTCATCACATCCCAATCCACCCAAATCCAGTAACATCCCTGTAAGTTTCAGTAGATTCAAGTCAAGTCTAGCAATCTCCACTCAAATCCAGCAAAGACCTGTAAAATCAAGTCAAATTCAGTAAAATACAGTCAAATCCTTACCTGAGCACTTTCTTCTTCGCATCATCCAAAGCCAACGCCCTGTCACACGCCTCCATCGTCCTCTGCAGTGCGTCGTCCGGCAGCGGCCGTCCTGTAGTGGTGGAGGCAGTAACCGACACCACCATGATCGTCGCCGAGGGCAACAGCCCTTCCAGATCCACAACCGTCAGATCCATCTCGTTGCCGATCCGACGGACCACGCGCGCGTAATCGATCGGGTGCAGCACTAGCGATTCCAGCTCCGGGAATTTAAGGCGGTAATTGTCCCTAATGAAGTTATGCACTATGGTTATTTCATTATCAATATCCACTGCAAGCCCGTTACAGTCCACAATTAATTGGTACTCTGACTCGTCCATTGGTGCTGCAGCAGCTGTAGCAGCAGGAGTAGAACTGGCTGTAGCAGCAGAAGCAGATGCTGTAGCAGCAGAAGCAGTGGTGGTGGTGGCAGAGGGAGGGGTGAGGCCTGCTGCTACAGCTGCTGCAGCTGCTGATGCTGCAGACACAGGGGGAGTTGACCCCTGCTGTTCCTGACTATTCTCTTTGCTCTGTCCTTGGGTTTGCTGTTCGGATTTGGGTTCAGTTCCCTCCTCTTCAGCAATGGTGGCAAGTTGTGCATCGGAAGCTTCCAATGCAGCTTCCACCCTCTGGTAACGGGGGGTAGAGAACAGAAAAAGGGGAACGGGGTGGGAGGGGAGGGGACAATGACTGCACATGAATGGGGTATTTGGGCACATTTAAACATGGACACATGATTGGGCACTTTACCTTTTATCGGACTCACTATGGGTATTCAAACAGAATCGTCACATGGATTGGTTTACAGGTAAGAATTCGGAAAAGGCGTTTGGTTGGGCAGATGAGATGGCTTCTTAAATTTTGAAAATGCTCAAAAAACAACCTAGAAAAAAACGTGGAGCTCCGCAACTCAGCTTGGGACATTGCAGTAAAACTGAGGTAACTTTTGAGTCGACTCAAGAGCTGAGCACCTTTGAGAAATCTTAAAACGAACTACCAGTACTGTACATTACCCAGCCACCTCTCTGCCAAGGAAAGGGCCTGGCCTTGTAGCCAGCCCATCTGCTTCTCACTGCACTTCAAGTGAAAATAAAAATACCACCATCCCACTCAACCCCCACCCCACACATGCTCCACCCACGCACCCTCGTCATGTCGATGTATCGTGCAGACTTCTGCAGCTTTGCCACAGCATCCAAATCCTCAGAGTTGAGTTGGAATGACCACCTCAAACCGCACTGTACCCGGCCCCACTCCACCCACCCACCCGCACTTTACCAGCCCGTCATTACCCGCATCATGTCAATGTATCGTGCAGACTTCTGCAGCTTTGCCACTGCATCCAGGTCGTCATAGTTGAGAGCTTCCAAGTCCATCGTTTCCTCCTCCTCCTCGTCGCCATCCGACCCCTCCTCCATGCCCCCACCAGCACCTGGCTCCTGCAGCAGTTAAAAAAACACAGTGAGAGCACAACAGGGGAGGAAGTGAGAATCAGGGCCGCCACATCCAGGTCGTCCCAGTTCAGAGCCTCCAGATCCATCGTCTCCTCCTCTCCTCCTCTTCCTCATCCACGGCCCCACCAGCACCGGCTTCCAGCATCAGTTAAGAAGAGAGAGGGCGATGAGAGCAGGTGAGTGGGAATGAGAGCCACCGCATCCAGGTCGTCCTACTTGAGAGCCACCGCATCCAGGTCGTCCTACTTGAGAGCCACCGCATCCAGGTCGTCCTACTTGAGAGCCACCGCATCCAGGTCGTCCTACTTGAGAGGTTCCAAGTCCATAAGAGTCGTCATGCTTGAGCGGCTCTAAATCACTTATTCCCCCTCCTCATCTGATCCAGCACGGTGTTTTTGAGACCAATCGTCCGCATTTGATCCGTTTTCCACACCCCCACCAACACCAATTCCCGCAGAGAGCAGAATGCAAGAATCGGCTACAGATCATCATCCCGACCACCCCCAAAACCCACAGGACAGGAACTTAGAGGAGACCAACCCACAGGTGACGAACCTCCAGGTGACGAGCCTAACTGTGACGAAACCACAGGTGACGAACCTATAGGTGACGAACCTACAGGTGACGAACCTACAGGTGACGAACCTACAGGTGACGAACCCACAGGTGACGAACCTACCTGTGACAAAACTACAGGTGACGAACCTACCTGTGACGAAACCACAGGTGACGAACCCACAGGTGACGAACCTACAGGTGACGAACCCACAGGTGACGAACCTACAGGTGACGAACCCACAGGTGACGAACCTACAGGTGACGAACCTACAGGTAACGAACCTACAGGTGACGAACCAGATGCGACAGGTGTCTTCAAATGACGGAGTCTCTCAAGACCCCTGGAAACAGTACTTGAACTGAACCCACCTGAGGCGCCTCTTCCTGGCGGATCTGCTAGGCGTCCCATCCATTAAGAATAGAACCTTCCACTCACTCCTGAAAACCACAACTCACCGAACTGAACCCACCTGAGGCGCCTCCTCATTGTCGGAGAGGTCGTCAAGATCCGCCAAGAAAGAATCCGCCAGTGTTGCTGCACACTGAACTGAACCTTGCTTCCACCCACCTCTTCAAATCCACAACTGACCGAACTGAACCCACCTGGGGCGCCTCTTCATTGTCGGAGAGGTCGTCTAGATCCGCCAAGAAAGAATCCGCCAGTGTTGCTGCCTGCGAGTGGGGGAGAGAAACATGGGATGGGAGTCAATTAGCCCGCAATAAGATACGACGTACAGACGTACGACGGTAAGGAGGTGGTAAGTCGATACGGATGTAAGGAGGAGAGGTATGACAGGAAGCCATCGCTCAGACCGGAGAGGTCGTTCCACCACTCGTTGTGCTATGAAGCATTATAACCGCTGTCAAGCAGTATAATCACTTTCCAGCACTTAAATCGCTTCTCTAAGAGCTACTTCGCCGTTGAAAACCCACCTTGCAGGATTCACTTCTGTGGGTCACTTCGACCAAAAACTGAAGGCATTCTACTCGCTAATCCAGGCTTCTAGTCTCCTGTCAGTTTTAAAAACGGTCAAATGAGACTCTCTCGCCTCTCGACATGACACGAAGCATCACTAAAGCCTTTCCTTTCAAAAAACGAAGTGTTCTACATTGGAATCGGCATAGAACGGTTTTATCAGCGACCAAGTGGAGCGCATCGGTTGATGAAAAACGAGCGGGAGAAGGAAGAGTAGAAACTGATTGACGGGAATTCAGGTGTGTTTCAAGTCGACTCGAAGCAGACGAGGAGAGGATGACGGAAAACGAGCGGGGATGAGGGAGAACAGAAACTGATTGACGGGAATCCTAATTAATGATTCGATTAGTCTATTCACTCACCATGACTGGGAAAATGAATCTGATAGAATATAGGCGTCTAGCCAAAAGGTAGAGATGAGGGCGACAGAGCGGTTAGCACTAAATATTATCCACAACTCCGTTAAAAAACCCCTTGACAAGCCGAGTTCGACAAATCAATGGCGGCGAGCTAGCGGAAGTAGGAAACTTTTCCTAGAAAAGGTGGGAAGGGAATCAGGGGAGGAAGGAATGCCGTTACCATCGCTCTAGAGAGAATCTCGGTGCTATTATTTGCTTCGTTGGGAGACAAACCACTAATGCCTATACAGCGTATTGTCATGTAATACCATATTCACACGGATAGTCAAAATTAGATAAGCTCGTTCAATGTTATGAATGAACTTGCAGAGTGCGCAGAGTAACGAATATCGAGAATGAAAATTACAGAATGACGACACAAGGAAAGTGACGGGATTTTATCAGGGGAATCCTATCCATGGCTGATTTTATCTGAGTACTTACTCTGATTTCAGGGTGATTTCAGGCTTTCCACTTTGCGGATACCGAAATTTCAGAATTACTGAGTTCTCAACCCTGTTCAAATCAGAGTAATAGTTTTTCTATCCCTGATTTTGAGAATAGTGTAATAGACTAGCCTGTTGGTGGACCCTGACTTAATAGAGTATCCCTGATTTTGACCTTATCGAGAGGAAGTTTCTCTGAAATTTCCTTCAGATATCCCCCTTCGGATTGATCGCAGTACAGCCAGCGCGTGAGCGATGGACAGCAGCATGAAGAGATAGAGGGGAAAATGAGAGAATTGAAACGAGAATGAATCAACTATGAAATGAGTGAGTACAAGTACTAACCCTGATTGGGTTGTACCCCCTATGGGATACCCCACTATAGCCTACACAAATGTATAAGCTATACAGCATTCTGACACACCCCCATAGGCAAAGTGGGGGAGAACAAGGGGTCACAAGACCAGTCAAGTAAAGCAAAGCAAAGCAAGCTCAGGGTGGATCACAAAGTCACCACACAGTCCGAGCACAGGGTCAAGGCCACACGGCCAGTTCACATGCAAGAGTACACACATATATATAAAGCTAGACAAGCAAGAGCAGGTATATATATATGTGAGAGTACAAGCAAGGTCAAGAGGAGAGCAAGTGAGGCAAGACGGGCACAAGACCCAGCTGAGTGCAGAAGCGCTGATGATCACAAGGCGGAAGAGCCTTGGTGAAGACATCAGCAGTGTTGGCCTCAGAGGCCACGTACGCAAGCCGCAACTGTCCACGCTGCTGTAGCTCACGAACAAGGAAGTAGCGGAGAGCAATGTGCTTTGTTCTGTGCTCCACTCGCTGCTCTTGACACAAGGCCAGCATGGCCTTGTTGTCTACGTACAGGACTGGAGGAGAACGAGGCGGCTCTCCAAGGTCGGTCAGCAGGTAGGTGAGCCAGCGAAGCTCCTGTGCAGCCATGGCCCCGGCGTAGATCTCAGCCTCACAACTGGAGCCAAGAACAGAAGACGAGCGAGTAGCCCGCCACGAAACAGAGCCGGAACCAAGGCTGAAGGTGTAACCCTGTGACGACCGCTGCGTAGCCTGGTCGTCAGCCCAAGAAGCGTCCGCGTGCCCAGTAAGGACCACTGGACTCCGCCCTCCAAGCACTAGCCCCATGCCCGACGTACTGCACAGGTAGCGCAACACCCTCTTCGCTGCAGCCATGTGCTCTGGTCGGTGTCTCCTAGGAGCAACATAGCGTGCGAGAATGCTAAGAGGGTATGCAAGGTCAGGTTGTGTGCAGGTCATCAGGTACATGAGGCAGCGAACAAGCTCTGGGTACGGGCGACTCGACTCTACGAACTCATTCGAAGGCAGAGCTGAGAGCGAGTGGCGAGTAGACAGAGGAGTGGCCTCAGGCGAGGAGTACGTGAAGCCGAAGCGCTGAAGGACCTGCTGCACCATGTGTGACTGAGTCAGGGTAATGGTGCGGCGTGCTCTGTCACGGATGATCTGCAAGCCAAGGTAGCTGCGCAGTTCACCCAGGTCTGTGCACGTGTGTCTCTTCTGCAGCTCGGACTTCACGTAGGCGAGTCCAGCAGTGTCAGCTGTGGCAAAGACCAAGTCGTCGACGTACACGAGGATGTAGAACGGCGGCAGAGAGGTGTCGGTGCGCAAAAACAGCGACGGGTCGGCATTAGAAGGAGCAAACCCAAGAGCCGCAAGCGTAGTCCTCAGTGTGTCATGCCACTCACGTGGCGCCTGGCGGAGACCCTAGACTGGACGCCGGAGACTCCACTCGGTACCAGGAGGGAAAGACCCAGTGAAGCCAGGTGGGCAACGCAGCCAGATCTCCTCGTGCAGGCTGCCCTGCAAGAAAGCTGTGCTGAAGTCAAGAGAGTGCAGCTCGCAGTCACGGTGAGCAGCAACGTGCAGCAGTACCCGAAGAGTGGTCATCTTCGGGGTGGGGGAGAAGGTCTGAAAGTAGTCAACTCCCTGCCGCTGACTGAAGCCACGAGCCACGTAACGCGCCTTGAAGACAGGCGGAGAACCCGGCGGCCGCTTCACCCTGAAGATCCACATGCCACTGACGATGTTCGCCCCAGGAGGGGGGACAGCGTCAACGTAGGTGCCTGTGGACTTCCAGGAAGCCATCTCTGCATCCATAGCTGCCTGCCACTGAGAGGAGTAGGGACCCTCTATCGCCTCCGCGTAAGAGCGCGGAGTCAGGATGTCAAGTGCATCCGGGTCTCCCTCAGGGGTAAGCAGTACGGACACGAGATGAGGTGAAGCAGCTGCCAGACACTGGAACTCCTCCTGCCTGTCCTCAAGGACGTCCGTGCCAAGAGCACACTCACCCCCGACGGACGGAGGACAGACAGACTCAGACTCAGCGACAAGACTAGCAGCGTAGTCTAGGCAACAGTGAGCAGCAAAGTCGACGAGCTCAGCAACTAGGGCAGACGCAGCAGTGGACTCGAAAGAAGGGTCAGTGACAACAATAGCAAGGAGACGCGTGACAGTAGGACTGGCAGCACGAAGAGAGTCCGACTCCGGGTCGGCAAGAGAAGGAAGAGAGGACTCAGGAGGAGAAGGCAAAGGGGCACGCAGAGGAGCAGTGGACGGACGCAGAGACATCCGGTGCGTGCCAGGGACAGGAGGAGGACGCTGACGCGAACCGCGACCACTAGTGCGAGTAGCACGGACAGGCGACGCAGGGCGAGACGCAGGCTCACGACGCTCAGCCAGACCTCCAGTAGGACCAGTGTAGGGAGAAGGAGCAGGCAAAGGGGAGGTAGGCTGCAACTGTAGGTGGGACGGGACAGGCTGTGGACACTCTAAGGGAGGAGGAGGACCAGTAGAAGGTGGAAGACCAAGAACCTGCTGCAGGAGTGGAACGAAGTACGGTCGAGGCCGCGTGGCGACGCCAGGAGCAGCAGGGACAGCACCAGAACCCTCAGCAGGAGCACCCGCTCCAGCAGCACCACCAGTAGCTCCAGAACCTCCAGCAGCTCCAGGAGCACCCCCAGCAGGACCGCCAGCGGTAGTCTCAGCGCCAACACCCTCAGTAGCACCTCCAGTAGGAGCACCCGCTCCAGCAGCACCTCCAGGAGCTCCAGAACCTCCAGCAGCAACAGGAGCACCCCCAGCAGGACCGCCAGTGGTAGTCTCAGCGCCAACACCCTCAGCAGCACCAGCTCCAGTCGAACCTGCAGGCTTAGCAGCTCCAGTATTCCCAGGACAAGCACCTCCGGGACCCGCGACAGCAGCACCCTCAGTAGCCGACGAACCTCCAGCACCAGCAGCACGGCTCCAGCGCCAGGCAAACCACTCGCGCAGCTCCTGTGGAGAGAGTGGCTCCCGGCGAGACGAAGCACCCGGAGAACCTCCAGACTCAGCACCCCTAGGCCCGGCACCCCCAGGCAAAGCACCCCGAGGCGTAGCACCCCCAAGCTCAGCACCCCCAGGCACAGCACCCCCAGGCTCAGCACCCTTAGCAACACCAGAGTCACCAGTGACCTCGACACGCTCGACTGCATCTACCTGGGACACACCTGAAGGGGCAGGACCCTGAGGGGGGAGGGGGTCTACCTGGGGGGGACCTGGTACAAGGAAGAGCGGGGGCGGGGGGAGGGACGGAGTGCGGTAGGGGAAGAGGCGGTAGTAGGGGACCGACTCGTCAAACGTGACGTCCTGGGAGGACAGAACACGGCGAGAGGTGGGGTGGTAGAACTGCCACCCAGGCGCGTCAGGGGGGAACCCCAGGAAGACGCAAGGAGCAGCAGGAGGGGACAGCTTGTCCGCAGACAAGTCGCGGACAAACGCCCGAGATCCCCAGACCCGGAACGCCGACGCATCGCCAACCTTCCCCGTCCACAGCAAGGCTGGGGAGGTCTCCGGCCTGGAGACCCTGGGGTGAAGGTTGATCTGATGCGCCGCGTACCTGACCGCAAACGGCCACAGAAAATGGGGGGCAGCCGCATGCATCATAGACGTACGAGCGACGTCCATGACCATGCCAATGCGGCGCTCAGCAATCCCATTTTGCTGCGGAGAGTCCGGAAGCGTGAAGGTCTGACGGATGCCCCGTGCGCGACAATAGGCTCTCAGAAGGTCAGAGGAAAACTCTCCGCCTCTGTCCGAGTGCAGACGCAGAACAGGAAAGTCCGAGCCAAAGCTCTGCCTGAGCTAGAGACGAGCTGCGCGGATCCAGTCGATCAGCACCTCAGTGACATCACCCTTGCTGCGCAAGGGGAAGACTGCGGTGTAACGCGAGTAGTCGTCAACAATTAGCAGGAAGTAGCGCTCGTGACCCTGTCCACGGACGCGGGCTGGGCCCCACACGTCCATGTGAAGCGTCCATGTGGGCCTCTGTTGGAGGAAACCGGGAGGAGTGAGGGGCAGCACGCTGGCGCCTCTCGACACAGGGGACATAGGTAGGGCCAGGGCCCTGAGGAAGGGGAGGGAGGGACCGGGGGAGACCAGAAACAAGAAGACGAGAGGCCATGCCTCTGAGTCGAAGCAGAGAGGGGTGACCAA